ATCTGGATTTTCTGTGTAACTGTTTCTGTGATCTTAGGCTCTCTTGTTTTTGTTTGTTTTTGAGGGGGTTCATGTTGTGTTCAGTCCGTGGGGCCTGGGCTGTTGTTTCCTGGTCACTCTTACTCCTCTAAACCCTTCATAGTCCCAACCTAAAGCCTGGTGTGGGGGTTTCTCAGCCTCTCCCCGCCTTTTCAGAGGCTTTCTTTGGTTTTAATTTTTGCTATAGGGCTAGTGAGCTCACCAGAGAGACCGAGAGACAGTGAGAGGGAAAGTGAGAAATCGCCCCCCAGGGTGGATGGCTGTGCCGTGATCCCTTCCCCCCACTCTCCTCCAGATTGTGGGTACACGCACGTGCTCAGTGTGATTTTCTTTTCTTTTTTGTTTTTAAAATAATTATTTATTCGATTTTATTTATTATTATTATTTTAATTTGCTTAGGGCACATGCACTCGACAGAGAGAGAGAAAATGAGAAAGCAAATCACCAGATTCGGAACTTGAACCATGGTCTGCCATGTGGGAGTCCAGCGCCTCAGCCACTGCAGCACCCACTGGCCCCTCAGCGTGATTTTCTTCTCTTTTTTTTTGAGAGGTTTTCACTATAGGGCACATACGCACACCAGAAAGACAGAGAGAGACGGAGAGACAGAAAGCGAGAAATCACCCCCCAGGGGGGATGGCCACGCTGCAATCCCTTCTCCTCCATTCTCCTCTCGGGATCTTGGGCATACATGCACACACGCCCAGTGTGAGTTTAAGCCACTGGGTCTGGGACTCGAACCGCGCTCAACTACGTGGGAGTCCAGCAACATAGCCATTACGCTAACTGCTGGTCCCTCTCAGCGTGATTTTCAAGTCACCAGATCTGGGACTTGAACCGTGGTTGACCGTTTGGAAATACAACACCATGCCACCTGCTGGCTTCAAGGTTCTTGACATTTAGTTTTTCTCCCTCTAGCCCCAACAAATTTTTAAAAGAATTATTTAATTTTGGGGCCAGCAGGTTATGTAGAATTCCCACATGGCCGACTGCGGTTCAAGTTTTGGACCTGGCAGCTTACTTTCTCACTCTCTCTCTCTCTGGCAAAAATTCATGTGAAAAAAAAGTAATAATAATTATTAAATAATTTTTTTCTTTTTCTTTTTTCTTTTTTTTTTGGAGAGGTTTTCACTATAGGGCGCGTGCGCTCGCCGGACACACAGAGAGACACAGAGACAGAAAGCGAGAAATCACCCCCCATGGAGGATGGTCACGTCGCAATCCCTTCTCCTCCATTCTCCTCTCGGGATCTTGGGCACGCACGCACATGCGCCCGGCGTGAGTTTAAGCCACCGGGTCAGGGACGCAAACTGCGGTCGACTACGTGGGAGTCCAGCGACATAGCCATTACGCTAACTGCTGGTTCCCTAAATATTTTTTTAAAAGGATTAGTTTTATTTATTATTATTATTTTAATTTGCTTTAGGGCAAAGTGAGAAATCAAGCTGCCAGGTCTGGGACTCAAACTGCTGTTGGCCATGTGGGAGTCTAGCATCTTAACTACCATGCCACCTGCTGGCTCTGCCTCATCAATTTTATTATTTATTTTTAGATTTTTGCTATAGGGCATGTATGTGCATTTGCCAGAGAGAGGAGAGAGGACAATGAGGAATCACCCCGGGGCGGGGGCGGGTGGGGGGGCGATGGCCACACAATCTCTTTTCTTCCAGTCTCCTCTTGGAATTTGGGCATGCACACACACACACACACACACACACACACACACACGCGCCCTGTGTGATTTTCAAACTGCTTGTTCGGGACTTGAACTGTGGTCAGACATGTGGAAATCCAGCACCTTAACCTCCATGCCACCTGCTGGCCCTGTTTTGTGTATGTTCGTTAATAATGGAATGTCTGATTCCGATTCCTGGAGAGCTGTAGGGGCTGTGGATGAGCCTCCCCATCTTGCTGGTTGAGGCCCGGAGGCAGATGTGGAGACACGGGTGGGAGGTCTAGGTTTTAGCCCCGGCTCTGCACCAACGTGCCCTTTGGTTCCCCCACACATAAAATGAGGCTTTCTCAGGCTCTGTCGGTTTTGTGACCAGGATTCTGTCAAGAGGAGGAAAAGCCTGGAGCCCCCACTTTGTCAGGATTGACAGATGTCCCTCCATGCCCCAAGTCCTGATGAGCCTCAAAAACCTTCCCAGTGCCCAGGGTCCCCAGCAGCAGTGTCTTAGCCTTAACCCGTGCAGAGTCTCAGGATGTGAAAATGAACCATCTGGCTTCTGCAGGGGAATGCACACACATGGGCCTGGCAGTCATGTGTCCTGTGTGCACGCCGGTGTGGAGGAGCCTTTACCCAACGGGCCGCAGGGCTGAGCAGGCCCGGCACCCCTCCGCGAGAGCTGGAGCCTGCTGCTGTGATGTGCCTCTTCAGCAGGGTGAGCTTGGGCTTCTGCGTGGGTCTCCTGTCTCCTGGGCCAGGCCCTTTGGCCCTGCTGCTGCCCTGGCCCTGATGAACCCCAGAATCGCCCACCCCCACAGGCATTCCAAAAGCAGCCGAGAACCAGAGTCAGGGTCAGGGAGACCCCTGGGAGAAGGAGCAGGTGAGGGCAAGGTGGGTGGTTGTGGGGCCCTCCTACTTCCTACCCAGCTGCTCACTCCCTTCCCACTTCCTGGCCTCCTCTCGCGGCTCTCAGTTTCCTCATTTCAAGTGAGAAGACGGAAGTGAATTATTTCTGAGGTTTCTTAAGACTCGGTGTTTTCTGATTTGGGTAGAGAAACTCGCAGATCGGTGTCTGTGCGGCCTAGGAAGGTGGGAAGGGGCCTGTGGGGGTCGAGCCAGTGACTAGTCTGCAGTGGGAGGGGACCAGGCGTGGCTGTGGGTGCCTGTGCTGCTGCCTTCCTGAAACCTCTACCCATTTCTAAATCCTCATAGTCCCTGGGCCAGCAGGTGGTGAGGTGGTTAAGGCCTTGGACTCCCACATGGCCAACCCTGGTTTGAGTCCTGGACCTAGCAGCTTGCTTGGGCTTCTGCGTGGGTCTCCTGTCTCCTGGGCCAGGCCCTTTGGCCCTGCTGCTGCCCTGGCCCTGATGAACCCCAGAATCGCCCACCCCCACAGGCATTCCAAAAGCAGCCGAGAACCAGAGTCAGGGTCAGGGAGACCCCTGGGAGAAGGAGCAGGTGAGGGCAAGGTGGGTGGTTGTGGGGCCCTCCTACTTCCTACCCAGCTGCTCACTCCCTTCCCACTTCCTGGCCTCCTCTCGCGGCTCTCAGTTTCCTCATTTCAAGTGAGAAGACGGAAGTGAATTATTTCTGAGGTTTCTTAAGACTCGGTGTTTTCTGATTTGGGTAGAGAAACTCGCAGATCGGTGTCTGTGCGGCCTAGGAAGGTGGGAAGGGGCCTGTGGGGGTCGAGCCAGTGACTAGTCTGCAGTGGGAGGGGACCAGGCGTGGCTGTGGGTGCCTGTGCTGCTGCCTTCCTGAAACCTCTACCCATTTCTAAATCCACATAGTCCCTGGGCCAGCAGGTGGTGAGGTGGTTAAGGCCTTGGACTCCCACATGGCCAACCCTGGTTTGAGTCCTGGACCTAGCAGCTTGCTTTCTCACTTTCTCTCTCTCTCTGGTGACAGCCCTACAGCAAATTTTCAAAATGGTAACAATAAGTACAATTGAGTAAATAATTCTATTAAACAAATAGTCCCCAGACCTTTATTCCGAACCTGCCGGCCACCCACAACCTTCTCTTGACATCTAAATCTATCCCCAACTTGTCCCCCTCAGTTCCTACCCACTGTCCCAGTCTTCTTAAACAATGCCCCCCCATTCATATAACATGAACTTTGTGTTGGCTTTTAAAATGGATAGGAGGGCCAGCAAGTGCATGATGGTTAAGGAGCCCCACATGGCTGACGACAGTTCAAGTCCTGGATCTGGTGGCTTGAAAATCATGCCAGGTGGGACCAGCAGTTAGCGAAATGGCTATGTCACTGGACTCCCACGTAGTCAACCGTGGTTCGCGTCCTGGACCCGGTGACTTAAACTCACGCCGAGCGCGTGTGCGTGCGTGCCCAGGATCCCGAGAGGAGAATGGAGGAGAAGGGATTGCGGCGAGGCCATCCCCCCTGGGGGGTGATTTCTCGCTTTCTGTCTCTGTCTCTGTCTTTCTGGCGAGCGCACACGCCCTATGGCAAAACCTCTCAAAAAGAAAAAAGAAAATCATGCCAGGTGAATGTGTGTGTGCCCAGAATCCGGAGAGAAGAATGGAGAAGGGACTGAGGCATGGCCGCGCCCCCCCAGGGGATGATTTCTCACTTTACCTCTCTCTGCCTCTGTCTGGCAAGCACATATGCCCTATTAAAAAAACAAACAAAAACAACTTAAGTAAATAAAGTGTTTTTTTTTTTAATTTTGAGATGTTTTTCTTTTTTTTTTTTTTTTTTTTTTTTTTTTGCTATAGGGCGCATGCACTCACCAGAAAGACAGACAGAGACAGGAAGCGAGAAATCACCCCCCAGGGGGGATGGTCACACCACAATCCCTTCTCCTCCATTCTCCTCTCGGGATCTTGGGCACGCACGCCCACACACCCGGTGTGAGTTTAAGCCACCGGGTCCGGGACTCGAAGCGCAGTCAGCTGCGTGGGAGTCCAGCAACATAGTCATTACGCCAACTGCTGGTCCCAGTAAATAGCTTTTAAAATGGGTTAGGATTGTAGTTAATCTTCCAGAGGCTCTTTTGCACAAGGCTCAGAGAGGCACAGTTTCTGGCCCAAGGCCTCAGAGTAGTGATGCCCAAGACGTTACCCTGGGATGCAGGACCCCGAGCCCAGGCCACGTACTGCCCGCAGCTCCTGCTCTGCCCGCCTCTCTCCCTGGTGTCTGGCCCTCTCTCTATCCAGAACTCACCTGCCAAGGCCTAGGTGCCTAGGGCCTAGTGCCACCCCCCCCCAGCCCACAGAAAGGAAGCAGCACTCCTCCCCCACGCCCAGGCCCTCCCTCCCCCACCCCGCCCTCCTGCCACCTGCTTCAAAAGCGGCCAGGCTAAACCGAGGCCTGCAGATAGCCCTGCGCTGGTCTTCAAAGGCAGCTCCCAGGACGGCCACCCAGGTCCTCCCGAGATGAAGGGCTTCCTCTTCTTCCTCCTCACCATCAGCCTCCTGATTATGATTCAGGTAAGAGCAGCCCCTTGGGGACCATGGCCAGGACTCCCTGGTCTGGGCATGGCCATGCCGGGGTGCAGGCTCCCAGGCCCAGCCTTTCTCCTATGGGAGCACAGGTTAACAGGCTCCCCAGGGGCATCAGGGCCTCGGGGGCCGGCTGCCCAGGCTTGCGGGCCTCTGACTGGCATCAGACCACGCCAGGGCTGCCCCTGACTAAAAGCCTGAGTCCACAGCCGAGGGGACTCAGAGCGTGCTGGGTACACCGAGGCACCCGAGGGCTGCTCGGAGTTTGGGGAATGAGGAGGCTGGAGAGGTGGCCCTGAGAGCGAATGGCATCGCGCCCCAGGGAGCCTGGGCAGCGGTGCTGACGGGAGACAGGGAGGGGCCCAGGAAACATGCGAGTGAGGCCGCTCTGTTTCTGGGGGTAAGAGCCTCCACCCCAGCCAGAGAGAAGCCAGGGTGCTGGGAATGCACAGAACCCTCCCCTCAGGGACAGCGGGAGCCCGAAACCAGGTGCCATCCCAGGAGGAGGCTTTAGTAGCAAACTGCCCGAGGGCCGGGCGGTGCGGGAGCCAGAGCCACCATGTCCTTGATCGAGGACGGGTTGATCAAGCATCAAGAACAGTGTGGCCCACCGAAACTGCCCCGTGACCAGCAAGCACGGCTCGGCCTTGTGCAGCTTGTCAGGCATTAAGGACAGTCTGCTCCCCGCCGTGCCCCCCTCACCCACCTGTCACCTGTGAGCTTCCCGCTCAGGATGGAGGCTCAGGCTGAGGAGGCGGACACCCTTCCCCAGCTAGTGAGGGCAGGGGCTAGGGCTCCCCGTCTCCCTCTGCTGGAGGGGTGAGTGGCCTGCAGGGGATAACAGGAAGGTTCTGTGGGCGGAGGCCAAGAACCAGCTGTGCCCCTCCGTGTCAGGCCGGAAGCAGCCACACACAGGACTCCGTGGCAGAAGTAGTGGTCACAGGGAACGGAGCGGAGGACTGGCGGGGCAGAGGGCCAGGCACCACAGACATTGTATCTATTATTTATTTATTTTCCCTTTTTTTTCCTTTTTCTTTTTTGGAGAGGTTTTTACTATAGGGCCTGTGCGCTTGCCAGAAAGACAGAGAGAGACAGAAAGACAGAAGGCAAGAAATCACCCCCCAGGGGGGATGGCCACACCGCAATCCCTTCTCCTCCATTCTCCTCTTGGGTCTTGGGCACGCACGCACACGCGCCCGGCGTGAGTTTTAGCCTCTGGTGTGAGTTTTAGCCTCCGGTCTGGGACTTGAACCGCAGCTGACTACATGGGTGTCCAGCGACTTAACCCTTATACCATCTGCTGGTCTTGACATGTGGCTTTTAAATAACGAACAGGAGCTCCCTGAGTGCCCCGCTTTTCTTTTTGCAGCTACAACCTCTAGTCTTGACAGGCTCGAGCACCCCCCCCACCAAAGTCTCCACAAGAGCCACCGCCAAGAAAGCCACCAAGGGAGCCCCTGCTGCCACCTCCCAGGGCGGGCCCCCGGTGCTCAGCATGGCCGAAGGAGGCTACCTTCTCCTCTTGGTCAACATCCTCACCCACTTCTACCTCAGCTGAGGGGACACCTAGCCTGGCTCCGTGCCCCGAGGCAGCTGAGAACTGGCAAGCAAGGGGTGGGATTGATGCCGGAGACCACCAGGCTGCGACACTGCCAGGTGGTGTCGGGGCAGGGGCAATGGCAAGACGGAGATCGTGTGGAGGCGCAGGCACCACCCAGGTGGGGGTCAATAAAGTCTTCCTGGTACTTGGCAGGCCCTGCCTGTGGTCACTGCACATCACTGGGCCCCAGCTGCCCCCTCCCAAGGTCCAAGTAAGGGTCCCTCCCCTGGGAATCACCTTGCAGGGACAAGGCCCCAACCCTGCCAGCTGCGGCACCCCCTCAGTTGCACCTGGGTGTTTGGGAAGGGCGGTCCCAGAGTCCTCTCCGACCCCAGGCCCTGGGTGTCCCGGCTCAGAGAGCCCGCTGCAGGACATGGGCATCAGGGAGAGCCCCAGACCCGGGCACGGCGCACCTCCGCGCATCCCTAGAGAACCAGACCCGTCTCCGTCACCCCCGGGGGCTGGGAAGGCCTCCAGGCTTGCGGTCGATAATGGGCACCACAGAGGGTAGGGAGTCCCCCAGCAGCCCCCACCCTTCCCAGCCCGGCCTCTTCCTTGAGGACCGAGAAGTGCCTTGGTCTATATGGGGACTTGGGGGAGGACAGAAGGGGCTCCTATGTCCTGCACTCTCTGAGCTGGGTCAGGGACTTGGACCCCTGACCTGGCTGCTCTACTGAGGTCAAACCCTTAGGCCCGGAGACCAGAGGTGGGGAGGGGAGCCACCCACTGCTGGACTTCTGCACCCACCCCTGGGCTTGTCTGCATCCCAGAACATTCTCCTGGGCCACCAGCAAGCGTGGCTGACCCTTTCCCGTCCCCTACACCCAGCCAGGCAGGCCGCCCTGCACCCTTGGGTGGGTCAGGGTCCTCTTTATGTATCCCCCACTTGTGTTCTCACCCTCACGGGGTGCATCGCTCTCCCAGTCGTCCTCCATGGGCCGAGCCCTGGGGGTGGGGGCCAGGAGGCGTGGCGTGTCTGTGCCTGCCCCCACTGTGGTGCCATCCTGGCTCCAGAACAGCCCTTGGGTGACTGCATGGTCACGCGCTCTGCTTAGTCTGGTTGCAGGGCTCCCTCTGGTGGCAGCGGGAGGCCTGACAGCCGAGCGCAGGTGAGCAGGGAGGAGAGGGCCAGCCTGGGTATAGGGGAGACAGGTGGACAGAGCCCATCCAACCCCACCCCCAGTATAAAGGCATGCAGACGTGAGGATACCTGGCGGCATATAGAAAACAGTTTATGTTACAACAAAAGGCCTATAAAACATTTCATCCTAGCAGAAGCCTTCAGGGCGTGGAGGGGCTTCAAAGCACATGGACGGCCCAGATCTGGGGTGCTCTGTCCTTTGCCACCTCCCACAGCACGACGTGGTCCCGGTCATAGCCCCGGCCACCTGGGGGAGGGGGTAGGAGACAGGGACGGTCAGAGAGAGCTGGGGCCCCCTGCCCTCCGCCCCGCAGGCACCTCTCACACCGCACGCCCCACGTTACCCTTCACATCCAGGACCCGGCCCTCGAACATCTGGCTGCAGATGTGCCCTGATTCGCTGATGCTCCACGTCTGGCGCGGCAGGCGGCTCTCGGCCCACAGCACCACCTTGGAGCCTGGGCTGGGGGGTCCGATCACCTGCAGGCTCATGGTGGGGGCCGCCTGGGACCCCGGGGCATGGTCAAGCACTGTCCCCCCAGGGGGTCTCTACCCCCCACCCCCGACACCAGAGCACACCACAGCAGCCTGAATGCCAGCTGCATAGACGTGACCCTGGGAAGTCTCGGAGTCCTCCTAAGCTTCAGTGTCCTTGGGGACCCCCAAATACTGGTCTTTCTGAGGTTCCCACGTGAGTTAAACGAGTTGGGAAATATCTGGGAAGTCTTGCACATCGACTTTCAAACCAGACTCGAGCCGTGGGTGAGCCTCCACGCAGGGACTGGCGTGTGGCTGTCAGTAACCTGCCTCCCCTCCCTGCTCTGCAGGGCTGCCCTCACTGCCACACAGCACAGTGGGAGGCGACCCGGCACTCGGCAGGCACACTCTCCTCCCAGGAGCCAGAGCTCGCCCTGCCCAGAGCCCCCCATGCCCTTCCTGCCTCATCTTCAGCGACCCTGGAGGTGGCCTTGCGGCTCCTCAGAAACGACAGGCTGTCCTGTCCCCAGGCGTTAGCACTGGCCATTCCCTCTACCAGAATGCTCCTTCACAGGGACACCCCCGCTGCTGCCTCCCTCAGATGTCACCTTCTCAAGGGAAAGAAGGGCCCGTCCGAGCTGCTAGCTCCTCGCCATGCCCTTTCCTCTACTGCGCCGTCCGCGTGGGGGACACCCAGACATCTGACCCATTTAAGTTGTTTCGTCTCTCCCTGCTGGATGTAAGCCGCAGGAGGGCATCAGCGGCCCTCTTCACACCGCGTATTCCAGCACCTCCCCGGCCATTAGCAGGGTTCGGCTCTATCAGCAGAGCTGGGGAGCCCTCAGAGGCATCTGGCAAGGCTCTCACGCTGCAGACCGAGGCCCACGGCTGCCCAGGATGCAGCTGCATGCTCCGCCTCTCTCGCCAGCTGGGACTCCCCACCGCGGGCCTGAGTCCCTGGGACCCAGCTGTCCGGACCCAGCCCCTAAATCGGTACCTGGTTCTTGAGCAGCCCGTCCTCGTAGTACCAGATGCAGCTGCCCCCGGCCCGGGGCTCAGAGACCACCACGCGGCCCGCCTTCATGTCCTCCACGTGGTCCGGCACTGCCAGGAATCCCCCCAGAGCCTCATTCCAGAGGCGGAAGTAGACCCGGCGCTGGTGGGGGGGAGGCCCAGAGTCAGGGGACCAGGCAGGCATGCCCCCCCACTGACTCTGGATCCTCCAGGCTCTTGGACCCCTGTCCCTCCCACCCCCAAACCTGCCTTACCCTGCCTCTAAGTGACCCCCTTCACACGCACGCTGAGGACACACGCATACCGCACGCACACGCAGAGTTCTATGTTCACAGGGACACCCACAGGTACCCCACACACAGTACAGGGGTGCCACAGACGCTCACAGGACACACCATGCGCACAGATGCACCACCCGGGCCCGCGCACCCGGCGACACGGGTCTGCCAGCACTCGTGCTCCTGCAAGGACGGCCGCGTGCAGGGGTGCAAGCCCACAGGCAGACGGCACAGCTCCTGCCAAAGAGGGGCCCGGGAGGCGGACACCACAGTGCCAGACCTCAGGGGGCCCTGCGCAGGCCGGCAGGCTCGCGGGGACGCCATAGCACAGTCATGGGAATGATCACAGCGCGGGCCCTGAAACAGCACGGGCCACAGGGGTCTGAGAGGCCGCCGGTCTTCAGGCCTCGCAGACCTGTGACGCCCAGCCCCAGCCCCGCAGGGCACAGTGCTAGCCCGGACTGCAGATGAGGCCGCGGGGCCGCGGGGCACAGTGCTAGCCCTGGACGGCAGCGCGAGTCCCCGTCCGCTCCTCGGGTCTTTACTTCCCCTTGTGTAACGCGCCAGGGCTGGGGAGACGCCCACGACGTCTGCTCACACGGGGTCACCAAGCCCGTGACTGCAGACGCACGTGCTCAGCCGGCTAACACAGGCCTGTGCAGTCAGAGCACTCCTGCTGGTGGGTAGAACATAAGATCATTGTCCGATCTGTGTGGATAAACCTGTGTTTGAAAATGTACGCCTGGGGCCAGCAAGGGGCAGGTGGTTAAGGCACTGGGCCCCTGCAAGGCTGACCGCGGCCCCAGACCAGGCGGCTTGCTTTCTCTGTTTCCCTCTCTCTGTCTCTCTGGAGAGTACATGTGCCTTGTAACAAATTTAATAATAGTAACAATAATAATAAATAACTCTTTTAAACATTTCAGGGTGGGACCTGGAGATAGCATAATGGTTGCATCTCTAGAGTCCCCCCGTCAACCACGGCTCCAGTCCCAAACCCCACAGCTGAAAACTCACGCCAGGCAGTAGGCATGTGTGCCCAAACTCCCGAGAGGAGAAAGGAAAAGGGACTGTGGCCTGGCCATCCGTCCCAGGGGGTGAGTCCTCGCTTTCTGTCTCTGTCTCTCCAGTGAGTGCATGCACCCTATACCAAAAATCTCTATATAAAAAAAGTAAGGGTAATGTATTCATTATAATGAATATCATAATAAACATGCCAAACTCATGAGTTTGTGGATCTTATTTCTTTTTTTTTGGAGAGGTTTTCGCTATAGGGCACGTGCACTCACCAGACAGACAGAGAGAGACATAGAGACAGAAAGCGAGAAATCACCCCCCAGGGGGGATGGCCACGCCGCAATCCCTTCTCCTCCATTCTCCTCTCGCGATCTTGGGCACGCATGCACACGCACCTGGCGTAAGTTTTAAGCCACCGGGTCCGGGACACGAACCGCGGTCGACTACGTGGGAGTCCAGCGACATAGCCATTACGCTAACTGCTGGTTCCCTGGGTCTTATTTAAGAGAAGGCTAAAGTAAGAAAAGAACAAACAGTGAAAATCGTCGAGGACAGGGGCTGAAGGAGGATGCGGCAAAAACTGTGAGGAGGAGCACGAATGCCGTCCGTGGGAAGCAGAGGTACACACCCACGTGGACCTCGCAGACACGCCACGCACCTGCCTGATGGGGTAGAGGGAGGCCACCCTCTGCGTGCCGCTGTAGGTCAGCCAGTTGGTGATCTCGCAGCTGCCCACCAGCCATTGGCGGCCCCGGAAGTCGTTGTGCTCACACAGCACCCAGCTGGGCCAGCAGGTGCCGGAAGGACAGACAGGGAGGCGCTGCTGTCAGAACAGTCCCCACCTCCTGCCCGCTCATGCTGGGACTGCCCGGGGGCCCGTCCCGAGGACGGGAAGGAAGGGGAGCGGACTGGGGTTTGCAGGGCCGAGCGGGGTCTTGGGAGCCGGTGCCCTCTTAGTCTGCACTCCTCCCTCCTTCCTGGCTCGGTGGGGGGGTGCAGCAGAGGCCGCAGGTGGATACAGGGAGAGGCCAGGAACCTGGGAGCTGGGGGTGCCGCGCTCCCTCACCCTGCCCACACACACTCACACGCCTCCCTTGATGCGCACGGACAGCACGTGGTTGTTGAAGCCCTCGGCCTGCAGGCTCCGCACCTCCCTGCTGAGTTCGATCTCCTTCCCCTCGAAGCACTCCAGCCCATACAGGAAAACGGAAGGTTCTGAAAAGTGCTGGGGACCGGGGCGAGGGACGGTGAGGCCATCGCACTCCAGGTCCTGGTGAGTGCCACAGCTCCAGAAGCCTGACTCCCAGTCTGGACCTCAGGGCATCTTCCCTCTGGAGCTCCGCACAGCAGGGCACGGACAGCCTCGTCCTCTAGATCCTCAGGTGCAGCAGGTGCCAGGCAAGACCCTGGTTCCCCCTAAACCTCTCCAGCTCGGTACCTCTAGGAACCAACAGGCCAGAAGCCTGGGGCCACCCTAGATCTTCCCCCCCTCCACCTTCGGAGGACAGTGAGCAGAACGATACCCAGGACCCGGGGCTGACCACCGGCCAGGTTCTGTGCCAAGCCCTTTGTCTGACCTCTCAACAACCCCGAGAGGCGGGCCAGGCAGTGGCACAGAGGGGATGCAACCGGACCCCATGGGAAAGGTCCGGAGTTCCCGTCCCAGGCCCATGTGTGTGTGCTCAGGACCCGGCCGGCTGAGTCCCCGGGGGTGGATCGGGGCATGAGGTCTCTGTTGGGAGTACCTGCTCCCTGTCTCTGTCTCTCAGAAGAAATAAATAAACAAACATTTAAAAACCCAACCCTGGACTTTCACGTGGTCGACCATGGTTTGAGTCCCAGACCTGGAGGCTTGAAACTCATGCCAGGTACAAGTGCGTGCCTGAAATCCTGAGAGGAGAGTGGAGGAGAAGAAGGGATTGCCATGTGGCCATGCCCCCTGGGGGAGGTGATTTCTCACGTTCTGTCTGTCTCTCAGGTGAGCCCACATGCCCTATAGCAAAAATCTCAAAACCAAACAGTCGCTGTAAGACACATGCTGTTGTTTTCCCCCACCTCGCTTACAGGAAAGTGGCTGGAGAAGGAAAGCCCCTGGTCAGAGGCCTACAGCGGGGCTCCAGGCCCTACAAGCTGGGCTCCCGGCCCTACAGCTGGGCTCCACGCCCTACAGCGGGGCTCCAGGGCCTACAGCTGGGCTCCACGCCCTACAGCTGGGCTCCACGCCCTACAGCTGGGCTCCAGGGCCTACAGCTGGGCTCCACACCCTACAGCTGGGCTCCAGGCCCTACAGCTGGGCTCCACGCCCTATAGCTGGGTTCCAGGCCCTACAGTTGGGCTCCAGGGCCTATAGCTGGGCTCCAGGGCCCTACAGCTGGGCTCCACGCCCTACAGCCAGACTCCAGGGCCCTACAGCTGGGCTCCACGCCCTACAGCTGGGCTCCAGGCCCTACAGCTGGGCTCCACGCCCTATAGCTGGGTTCCAGGCCCTACAGTTGGGCTCCAGGGCCTATAGCTGGGCTCCAGGGCCCTACAGCTGGGCTCCACGCCCTACAGCTGGGCTCCACGCCTTACATCTGGGCTCCACGCCCTACAGCTGGGCTCCAGGGCCTACAGCTGGGCTCCAGGCCCTACAGCAGGGAGCCAAC